GTTACCCCCCCCCCCCCCCATGACTCCTGAGTAAACGTGAGCTCACGCCACATGCACATCCCTGTTTGCCTGGTGCATCTTGAATCCCTTGGAGCTTGGAAATCCCATCCTGGTCAAGCTCTATGAAACATTTTGAGTCTCTGCTTCGTGCTCTGAAGGGCTTTGTTCCTGTGCTCACATTTGCTCCGGAGCTCTCAGTGTCCAGCAGTGACTAACCCTGAGCCACTTTCACCTTCCACTCCATAATGAGTTGCAGATGTTGTCTTAAACACGTTGAGCTGACGAAGGGAAAAATGCTCTTATTTGTTGATAATGGCCAAGAACCACTTCTTCAGCCTGTGACAAATGCAAATAGCAAATGTATATATTCTTATTAAAGCAGTGGAAGTCTCCAGAGACAAGAGAATGGAAATAGTGTTACAAAACTGTTAGGAAAACAACTGCCACAAAGAGCAGCCGTGTTTACAGGAGCAGCATCCAGGGAAATAAGGTAGCTTTGAGTCCTGGAAGGGGGGCGAGATAGGGTCTGTGTGGGGAGAAATCCTACCAAATCCTGACCACTTCTGTGGGAGCAGCTCCTGAAAGGTCCAGTAGTGTTAGTCTATCGATGAGCATATTGAAAAGGGCTTTGAAAAGTGGGCATTTCCTCCTGTCCCATTGAAAACAGAGGTTCCTGCACAGCTCTTCCAGGGCAGTGAGCCAAGATGACTCCTAAAGGATGTCGTTTTTCTTCCACAACCAAACCCAGAGCAACAGGGAACCCCTGCCATAGCCTTGCTGACAGAATCTCTGTTCTTCAGCTTGCTTTGATTCCCCAGTGCCTGTAGGCAAGGTACAAACTGGAAAAGCCAATTTGGGAACAGGAACTCCCCCTGGTGAAGCCACGGGAGGGAGGTTTTGCTGCGGCTGCCGGACCCTGGGTGAACAGTCTGCAAAGGGCTCAGGAGCTGCCCTGAGCCTTCTCCCCTTCCTGGGGTGAGGCTGGGTTTTCTCTGCCTTCCCATCGTGGTCCTTTGGCGAGCAGGAGCGCTAACACCCTTCGCTGGTGGGACACTGGGGCTTTTCCAAGCTCTAACACAACCCAGACCTGGGAATCTCCCTCCAGCAGCTGGAGGCTGAGCGGAACCGCTGGGGCAGCGCGTGTCTCTTGGTGCCATTCTTGCTGGAGTGACGTTTGCTTTGATATTCTCACTGGAGTGTTCACTTTGCCTTCTGCTTCCCTTGGTAAACCAGGTGCGCTGAGGTCGGTGTCCGCTGAGCCGGGTTGAGGTGCTTCTCCTTCCTCCTGCCCCACATGCCAGGAGAACCTGGAGCCACCTCCTCTGGCCTCTGACTCGCGTCTCCTTCTTCCCTGCAGGTCTGTGCAGACTTTTGCAGACAAATCAAAACAAGAAGCTCTTAAAAACGACCTGGTGGAGGCTTTGAAGAGAAAGCAGCAAAGTTAAAGTCCTCTCCATGCTAACAGGACATGCCATGCACTCGTTAGATTCCTTTCTTAGAGAACTCATCCCCCCCCTTTGCCCTTTTCTGTTCTGTCACGTCACGATTTGCATTCAGTACTACCCATGCAACGCCATCTCCTCCCCATGAATAAAGCTGTACAAACTTTTTCAGTCTCTGAGGCCTACTTTGCACCACGTTTTACTCTTGAGACCTTAGGCTATGTCTGTAGAAGTCCATGTATTTTTTTTCCCCCCTTTCTCCTCTTCCACCTTCCCCCCCTCCTCCCCATCTATATGCATAACCACGGATCATTGTTTGTCTTCTCCTCCCCTTCCTCCTGCCTTTTGTTACATTGGTGTACAAAATGTAAAACAAGAATTTATTAAATACTGTGGTGTGTGAAAGAAGAACTGGAAAAAAGGAAAAAAAAAGACTAATAAATCTATTCCACGTATGTCTGGGGCTGGGCACAGGGGATGGCTGCCGGGAGGGAGGGAGGGAGGGGAGAGAGGGTGTTCTCGGGGTTGTACTGTACTGAGTAAACCCGTTGCAAGGAGATGTTGATGAGGAGACCTGCTGAGAGCGCTGCTCTTCCAGAGCCTGGTTCCGAGGCGCTTTTCTGTCAATTTTTATGGAATGCAAAAAAAAAAGGGGTTTCTTTTTGGTTTGATTTGGGGTTTGGTTTTATTTTTTTTTGTAAAGCTTAAATCGAATCCACATCTGAGATTGAGCCTCCATAGAAAAACCAGAAAAAAAAAGAGAAAAAAAGACTAAAATGACAATAAAAAAACCTCCCAGGAAGCAGTGTGTGTGCCACTGGTGTCCTTCTTATTTCTCTTCCCTTCCTTACAGGGTAACTTGGGGGTTGCGCTGGCAACGCTCTTCTGCAGCGCCTGAGGCCATCATTGGGGCTGAGGTAGGTGGATGGGACTTGAAAACGATGGCAAAATTCAGTAATCCATCAGCCTCTCTTTATCTGGCCATGGAAAGTGGGAAAGTGGCTTTTTTCCCCTTTCTTCTCATCTCCAGATGAGCTGAAACTTGTTTGTTTTAACGAGGGTGGAATGTCCTGCTCCCCATAGGTGTAGCTGCATCACTCACCAGCCTGATGCCCTTCCAGGATGCTGGCACTGGGATGTCAGAATCCCGTGGCTGGGATTGGCACTTCCAGCATCCGGCAAACATGGGACAGATGGATTTAGGGAAGGATTAGTCCAGCGTTGCTGGGTCTGTTCTAAATGGCTGGGGGGGGAACCCATGTGCCAGAGCATTCCAGTTCACTTGGCAGCTTGAGGTGGGGACTTCCAGCCACTGGTGCTTGCCCAGAAGCTCCTCAGGTTGGGTCCCTGTCAGTTGTGAGCCTCGTGTAGACTTCCCCCTCCATAAGCACGTGGTGGGACCCTGCCTGGCTCCCATCTGCTGTGGTCACAACTGAACCTGGTGAACCCAAGGCAGCAAATACCTGTGGGGCTCTTCCTGCATGTGGAACAGTGGAGTTTGCCTCTGGGTGAACCTGTGCAAAGTGAGACCTGGCACTACTATTGATTAATGTGCTCTAATGTTGCTTTTCCAGTGCGACCCCTTTCACATCCACACCTCTGCAGGGGGTTATGGAGTGTTCACTGAGGGGCCTCTGCTCTGCAGCACAGCTCACACAGGTCAGGTTGCTCCAAGCCCTGTCCAGCCTTGGGGCATTGTTCCTTTCTCTTCTCAAAGCCACTGATGGTTTGTGCCTCCTCTTGTCTAAGCTTCCCTGTGCAGAACCTGCAGGTCCCAGCTCTGTGCAGGACCGGGCTGTTACAGCCTCAGAGGGAGGGGAACCTCAGCCAGAGGCTCCTTGTGACACCAGTTTCCACTCACCACTACCTCGATGGCTGCTGGGGCATTAACTCCCCTGCCCCGTGCAGCAGCAGCCACCCACCTCGTGCCATGCTCCCCAGCCTGAGGGAAAGAAACAGGAAATGAGCTTTGTCCTTAACCTGTGCTTTGGATGCACCTCTGGGAACAAACTGGGGGGTTTGTATATATATATATACATAAAAATATATATATATATGTGTATATTTACCTCTTATGTTAGAACATCCTTGTCCAGCACTAAGAAAAGCCTCGGTGAAGCAGGGCAGTTACTCAGTATTGTGAGTGGCAGAAATGTGGCTCTTTGTTTTAGCCAGACCCTCCCCAGCATTCCAGAGCTGAGGCTAAAACCCCTCCTTGGATAGAGGCAAGCCCCAGGGTCTTTGTAATGACCAGGAATTGAGGTCTAATAAGCTGTCCTCTCTACCTTGCTTGGAGTCTGCTCCTGGTTTGTGTTAGGGCTGGATGCAGGCTGTTCTGCTGCAGTTCCTAGGGAAGGACAGCAAAGGAAATCTTGCTGGCTCAGAGCTGGGGAAGAGCGGAGCAGCTCCAGCGAGCCTGGAGGGGAGAATCATGGATTAATGCTGTGAAAAACCCACCCACTTTGTTCAAGGGGCTCAGAGAGGCTGAAAAATACCTTTTCTTTCCAAAACCACATTGGCAGCTCCAGAGATGGGCACAGGAGTGTCTGAATTAACCTGCTGGTGCACTTTGATGGGCACTGGGACTCCCATCCCACATTTGATCTAAGCTGTGCTGTGCAGGCTCAGAGCTGTGGCTCTGCTGCCTCCGTGCGAGGGTGAAGCAAGGAGGAAGCTACTTCCTCGGGAAGGACAAGTGTCACGGGACTGGCACTGTAAGTGGATGATGAGGCAGCTAAAGCTGACCGGGGACAGGGAAGTGCTGGGTAGTGGGGAAGTGGAGAAAAAGGGAGTGAAATTAGAGTTAATGGTGACTGCAGGGAGGGAGAGTTCTTGGTTTTAGAAGGACAAGTTAATAAGATCCCAGCCTGGTTTGGGTTGGAAGGGACCTTAAAGCTCACCCAGCTCCAACCCCTGCCACGGGCAGGGACCCCTTCCACTAGAGCAGCTTGCTCCAAGCCCCTGTGTCCAACCTGGCCTTGAACACTGCCAGGGATGGGGCAGCCACAGCTTCTCTGGGCACCCTGTGCCAGCGCCTCAGCACCCTCACAGGGAAGAGCTTCTGCCTAAGAGCTCAGCTCAGTCTCCCCTCAGGCAGGTTCAAGCCATTCCCCTTGGCCTGTCCCTGCAGGCCCTTGCAAAAAGACAAGCTGTGTTAGTTTTCCTTGAAGGGCCCACAAGTATTAGTCGATTCTCCTCTTTCTTGCCCTGTGACATGGAGCTGCTCCTCCCCAGCAGAAGGAGCTCAGCACGTGCAGAGGCCACTTTTCCCAAGGTGCTGCTTCCTTCTGTGGTCAACAAGCCACTGTGTGGTGTGCAGGGCCCTGGGAGCATGATAAATCCATCAACAAGAGAGTAGGAACCAAACAGCAGAGCAAGGGGAGGCAGCAGCAGCAGCCTGGGCGACCGCCTCCGCAGCTCCCAGAGAGCAATGGAACAACTTCCCCAAGAAACCCACACAATTCAAACGAGAAGTCAGTAATGGGGATTATGAGACACAGTGAGAAAGGGGCAGGAGCTGCCAGATGAACGGGCAAATAAAACCTAAGGAGGCACATGGGCAAGGACTTGGTTTATAGACATGAGCCGTGCTAATTCAAACAGGTTTGTGTGGAGTGAAACACTTTGGTTACGCTGCTCCTTCCCTCCCTCCTTCTGAACTGGGCCCACTCACTGAGGTATCTTCTAGAAAGAGGCAGTGGAGACACAAGGCCCACAGAGGTAAATGGTTATGGTGGGTCGCACATCTCCATCCTCTCCCCACAGCCCCTCAAGCTCTTCTCATGTTTGACAGCACTGAGAAAGCTCCAGATCACCCCAGAGGCAGCAGATAAAGAGAAGTGACTGGGCTCAGCTGTAAGAGCTACGATGAGCAACCTTCTGAGGTACTTAAGTTATTCCCTGTTTATCCCAATAGCATCATTGGTATCAAAGAGGCACAAGGTCCCTCAGCAGTACCCTCTGCCACCCAGCTGGGCTTTAGCAGCACATGTCACCCCCTGGCTCAAGTCCTCTTCTCCCAAGAGCTGCCAGGGTGGAGGAGCTGGTTTGCCCAGCGTTGGGGTCAGCTTTTGTGTCTGCATCCTCCTCTTCTCCCTCCAGGGTAGGTCCCTCTGTCAGCTCTCCAGGCTGTCCCCCTGCTCGCCGAGAAGAGCACCCCTCTCTTCATGGGTGCCAGGTTTTCCTCCCCGATAAGCAAGGAACTGGAAGGAGATCTGAGAAGAAGTTAAGACTCTTCCCACAAGCAAGGGCGGGTCTATGGATGCATTGGGTCTCACCACCTGGAAAAAGGCTGTTGGTGCCAGGAGATGGACACAGGATGAGCTTAGTGCACACAAGGGCCTGAAGCATTCAGCTGTTGCAACACCATGAATTACTCACTGGCACAGCTCACAGCAATCACTGATGAGCACCAGTCCCACCCACTGCTGCCTAGCCCTGACTGCCCCAAGGTGGGACTGGATCCAGGAGGGAAACATTGGCCAGGGAAAGGATACAACCACGTCCAGGGAAAGGACACCCAGGCTGCCCACCAGCCAGGGGAGGTGGTGCAGGACGTAGTCCCCTTCACTTTGCCCTGGCTCAGGGTTCTTCAGGAGGACACTGAGGCCGTAGAGCGAGTTCCCGAGCATCACCAGGGCAAAGAGGGAGTAGGAGATCCCGATGGTGGACTTCCTCTTGTACTGGAAGAAAAGAGGCCAGAGAGAGGAGCTTGGGTGCAGCTCTGAAATCTCACTAGGAAGCAGTATTAATCACTCTCCCCCCCAAAAAAAAGAAGAAAAAAGGTGGTGACTCAATGCCAAGAGCCTTTTAGTTCCCCCCTTTGCTTATAAATTAAGACAAAGTGAGAGCACCACCCTAAAAATACTATGTTAAAGGGAAGGGAGAACAATTAATCATGTTTTGGAGCAGAAATACAGAAAAATAGTCTCATGAGGTGATGAGAGATGGGACCTCTGAGCAACGAGGAGAAAGATGATCCCACCACCATTTCCATCTGACACCTCAGGACCCCAGGACCTGTCCTACCACTTACATTCGTGTAGATCTGGGGGACTCGGGAGCACAGGTACAGCACAGAGGAGACAGAGCCAATTGTGAAGCCAATGATCTCGCTCCTGGTGAAAGGCTGCAAGGCAAAGGGGGGCATTGAGCAGCCCCATGTTCTCAGAGATGCGCTCATCACCCTCACCACAGCTCTGTGCCAGGCCATAGCATGGCCAAACCCCTGCCCTTGATCTCCCCACCAAGCAGGATGCATTGATCCAGCAGGATGTGCCCACCCCACCAGAGCTTTATCTTCTCCTCCCCCCCCATCACCCAGCTTTAGGACTCGGCTCACCTCTGGCACCAGCTCACCCACATGAGTGGAGAGCAGGGACCTTCCTTTGAACAGCACTGGGTCCTGTGCCACGGCAGCACCTCTGCCCAGGAAGGAGACAGTAGACAGTGTCCCCAGGGAAAGGAAGAGGAAGGCTGCGTTGATATGGCCAGTGACTGCAGGGGATCAAGCAGAGGCTGGTTAGGAGAGCTCCTCTCCCAGGCCCCAGTGCAGCTCAGCAGCCGTGGTGGGTGCCAGGGCTCCCTCTGAGAGCCCTTCAAGCTCTCTTATCTCTGCGGTGGCACAGCCAGCGCCAATAGCTGCTGTGGGCACTTTATCTCACAGCAATACAGGCAATTGGTAAGTTATCAGGTCGGAAACTACTCCTATCTCAGCAGGCCGAGAGCACTTGAGCTTCTTTGTGCTTAGGGCTCTTCAAAAACCATCTCCTCCATCTAGAAGCTTTTCACAGGCTTAACTCACCACAGCACATGTTCAAATCCCTGCCAGCCAGAACCTCAACATCAAGACTTGGGTTGTATTCTGTCAAGAAGCTCTCCAGTATTAACAAAGCGAGACAGCTGATGAGCCAAATACCAGCTGGCTTAGTAAGTTAATGGCTTTAGTAAGTTAACTATTTATCAGGGTCCCAGGGATGCCTGTTGTAGTCAGAGATAGCTGCAATGCTAAAAAGTGGGTTTTCTCTTGCTGTTCAAGCCTTGCAAGAACAGTCCAGGTTCCCTTTTTACTCCATTTGAACAGGGAGGAACTTCTCCATCACATCAAGGCTGCCACTAATTGTAAGAGGTGCACTGACCTCCAAATTTCTTTCGGTACTTAATGCAAGTCCCAGGGGGGTTATTTTCCACCCAGATACTGTGCACGGCTGTTTGCAGAAGCCCCAGGCGTGGCTGGTAGCTATTTGCAGACTTTGGCTCTCATAGGTGCTCAGGTTAGCATAGAATCTCTCAAGCTGGAAGGGACCCCAAGAATCATTGAATCCAGCTCCCTGCTCCTGGCAGAACTACCTAAAACCAAGCCATATGACCAAGAGCATCATCCACATGCTCCTTGAACCCTGATGGGCTTGGTGCCATGACCCTGAAGAGCCTGTTACGGCTACTAAGGCAAAATTGCTTTAAGAATTACTGTAGGAAGGGAAAACATGTGCAGAGGCTTCCAAGATGCTGTGCTCACATGTTTAGATTTGCATGTTCTGCACTGCAGAAGACAGAAGCAGGCATAGGATCAGCAGGGGGAAATGCTGGGTTTCAGGAACAGCAATACCATTTCCTCTCTCGGTGATCCCTGGTTATTATCCCATTTTTCCATCCTGACTACTCTTGATTCATCCCAGGTAGAATATAATGATGAAATTTCAAGAAGAGGCAACAAAAACCCCTACAAAGAGGTTTATGTTGGGGTTTGAAAAGACTAGTAAGCAGTAAGCAATATCAGTGCATCTGCAAAGCACCTCTGCCCCAGTACATCTCCTCAGGGCTTCCTCCCCCTCCTGGATCCACAGCCAAGGCACAAGCCAGCCCAAAAGGCAGCCCCACCACCCTCGTAACCCCAACTCACATCCTCCACCCCGGTTCTTCACTTTGTAGTAGCAGTAGAGAGCCAACATCACCAGGTCTGCGAGCACATAGTAAATAGCTGTGTAAACCTATGGGGAGAAGGATGGGTTGGTTCTACCTGCAGAAAGGCTTCCAGGTAATGGCCAAGATGAGGCAGCATCCCAGGAGGAGAAGGAAGTATCCCCAGGAGAAGGACAGGGAGCATCCTGGGGCTGTTTGGGTCTCTGGTGTTGGATTAAGCAGCACCCATCCCTCCTCCCTGCAGTTCAGGGTGCCTGAGAGCCAACCCAACCCCAGCAATTCAGCTGGTACCTGCAGGGGTAACTGATGAGCCAGAAAGGAACCGATGAGGTTTAGGAGGTCTCCGCCTAGCCATCCCAGCAGGAAATATATGGAGAGAGCCCGGTCCATGATGCCCGTTTTGCAGGCTTGGTAAAACTGCCTGCAGAGACACAACCCATAACCCCTGTATGGCTCAGCGCTACCTGGGAATCATCCCCAGGATTCCCTGTTGCTCCCACCTGGATCATTTTGCAATTGCAAAGCACTTGGCACCAGGAGGCGGGAAGCAGAGATTTCTTGTACCTAAGGCAATCCATCTGCAAGCCAACCCCTTTGAGAAGTCCTGTGACCCACTGGCATCAATACACTGGGCTCAAGCCCTTGTGATCCGTCCCTCATGCAGGGGTAGAAAGCAGCGAGGAGAAGCACCAGTTGCAGAAAGTGCCTCTCTGGTGATGAAATAACCTGATGATACACCAAGACTCACCACGTCCCCCCTGCCGCAGCTGTCCCAGCACTTCCAAGAAGCCCAGGGCCCCTAGAAACACTTCATCCACACGCATGACCTGCAAGGACTGCATTGCAGTTGGCTTACGTGGATAATAACAGCTGCCAAGCTCGGTATTAGCAATACAACAACAAACAAGGCTTCAGGGCTGCGCTGCCGGCTCCCTCTGCACCCCTTAAACCCCGGTTTTCCAAGCCCTGATTGTCTTTGCTGGGGAGAGTTAATAACTCAGGGAGCTCAAGGGTGAAGCTGGATTGAGGAGAGGAGCGTTATCCCATGGGAAGGGGTCTGGGAGGGATGCTTACGGGAAGGAGGCAGCTGCAAAGCAGAAGATGGAAACCAGCCCCAGGACGACACTGGCGATGTCCCGGCCGTCCTGGGCACACTCATTGAACACATCCATCACCCAGCGGGAGCCATTGGGACAGTCGGAAAGGTTCCCGAGCTCAAGACGCCTCCAGTGCTGCGGATCCATGGCCGCCGGTGCTCGGGTGTTGGTCAGGTGGGATAACGCTGGGGGAAAACATGGGAACGTGAGAAAAACATGGGAAAAACATAGGGAAAAGTTAATAACGCCGGGGGAAAATAGAGCTGTATTAGGAAGAGGCTTGGAGCTCCTCCAAAAGCCTCGCAAAAACCTCATTATTGGCTTTAACTTTGGATACAGTGGGATAGCCAGCGATTAATGCCACCACCCAGCAGGATTTGTCCTCAAAGAACTGAGCCTCTATGGAACAGGGATTCACCCCTCTCCTTTACTGGCCTTCATTTGGATCCCGTGGGATGACCGGCCGGGAATGCCGCCACCCGCCAGGACTGAGCCCCAAAGCGCTGCTCGCTGCGGGACAGGGCCTTACCTCGCTCCACGGCGGCCCTTTGGGAACCGCCTTTAGTTCTCCTCAGAAACCCGTGTTTTGCTGTTCCTCCTCCCGCAAGCTCCCTCCACACCCGCCGGTCCCTCAGCCGCGCTCAGGAGCCCGCTTTGCTTCGCTGCCAGCTGCTTTGTGAGGTAATTTTTTACAAACCCACCACTTTTATCAGAACCTGCTGGTGCCCTCCGCTTCCCCAGCAAGCCGCTGCTATCCCACAACCCTAATTTTGCCGGAAATCGGTGGTTTTCGCCCCAAACCCGGCCGGGGTTTGAGCGCTCCCCTCAGCACCGCGCATGTGCCGGCGGGCTGGGCTGGGTTGGGCGCGCCTCTCGCCCTCCCCGCGCATGCGCGGTGGCTCCGGCAGCGATGGCGGCCGGGGGAGCTCGGCCCGCTGTGGTGCTGGGCGCCATGGAGATGGGGCGGCGGGCAGGGCCGGAGGCCAGCGCCGCGCTGCTCCGCGCCTTCCTGCGCCGCGGGCACCGCCTGCTCGACACCGCGTACATGTACGCGGGGGGAGAGTCGGAGAAGATCCTGGGCGCGCTGCTGGCTGCAGGCACCGAGCCCGGTACGGCCGCGGGTGGGTTTAGTGGGGCTGGAGGAGGCGGGCGCTGAGGAGAAGGGGCTTCCGTGACGGGCTGGCACCGGGCCTGAGGGGAAGGGAGTACTCCTGGACCTGTTCCATGAGGATAAGGGTCTCCTCCGCCGGGCTGGCACCATTCCCGAGGAGAAGGGACTTCCCCTGGACCTGTTCCCTGATGCCATCCCTGAAGGAAAGGAAGGGACTCCCCTGCCCTCTGTGCCTTGGGAAGGGCATTTAGGGCAGCCCTGCAGTCCCTGAGGAGAAGAGACCCCCCCACCCTACCCCCGAGCGGCTGATGTGGTTCCTGAGGAGAGGCGCCTCCCCTGAAACACCCCAAGCAGCGCTTGCGTTGTGCCCCTTATCCCTTTGCTGATGCTGGAGCCATCCCTGCTCATTCCGCCTTCCTCTCTGCCAGTGCAAGTCGCCACCAAGGCCAACCCCTGGGATGGGAAGACGCTGAAGCCCGAGAGCGTGCGGTCACAGCTGAACACGTCCCTGGAGAGGCTGAAGAGGACGAGTGTGGAGCTCTTCTACCTCCATGCCCCTGACCACGGGACCCCGGTGGAGGAGACGCTGCGTGCCTGCAATGAGCTGCACAAAGAGGTAAAGTGGGAAGAGCAAGCCTGGGCTGTCTCTTGGTTCCCTCCCTCTCTTAACCTTTTATAAACCCGGGCTGCTTGTTGTGCACTTTTTCAGCGCTGGGTTTGCACAACACGAGGAGGGGACACAGAATGGCCAGGGCAAAGCCCTGACTAACTCTGCATTGCGTGCTCACGTGGTGTACTTTGTGCCCAAGAGCTCTTGGAAGCATGAGACTATCTGGACTTTGCTTTCAGTGTTAACTGACTAGGTTAAGATTAGTGCTGGTAATGGCTGAAAGAAGAATTTCTGAATGGCATTAGTCCAGTGGTGGCATTTAAATTAGAAGGTGTGAGTTCAGAATGAAAAGGAAATATTTCTGTTGGGTCTTATAATTCATAGCAAAGGCGAACACGGATGACCAGGGAACTCTGGGCTAAAATTTGGTGCCTGCTCATTTCACTGTTACCTTGCACTGCCTGGGTACAAATGCACTTCTAAAACCAGGACCTGAATATGCCTTTTATTTCTCTGCAGGGGAAGTTTAAGGAACTTGGTCTATCCAACTATGCAGCATGGGAGGTAGCAGAAATCTGCACCATCTGCAAATACAACAACTGGGTGATGCCAACTGTGTACCAGGTGAGGGGTGGGGGCTGGCCATGGCCTGGCACATCTTTTGTGGAGTCTGAGATGAATCCAACCAGAGGAATACAAAGGTTCAGCTCAGAGCGGCATAGAAATGGTTCTCAGTGCCCTTACAGCTACTGTGGGGAAGTGTCTGGGGCTCCCAGATCTTGGACCAGCTCCCAGGTAACAGCAGAGGAAGCTGTGGCAGTCAGCCTGGGAGGTCCTGTCAGGACACATGTGATTAGAAAGCTGAGTCTGCGTTTGTTCCCCGAGTCAGTGACCCCCTTCATGTGGAACTTAGAAATCAATGACTTTAGGAAGTCTGTTCCTAAGCAGAGGATAACCTTGTGTGACCTGGAGCTGTAAGAGTGCTGTCAAGGAAGGGTGGGGAAAAGGCTGTTCAGGTGCCCACTGCCCTGAGCTGGTGTTTGCAGTTCTTTGTCTCCCTCATCCTCGTGCAGGGCATGTACAATGCGACCACTCGCCAGGTGGAAGCTGAGCTCTTCCCTTGCCTGAGACACTACGGGCTGCGGTTCTATGCCTACAACCCACTTGCAGGTAGGGGGAGGAAAAGGGTGAGACTTGGAAACCAAACCTATGCAAAATGGGGGCTGTAGAGGAGCCAGCTCAACCCCAAACGTGCTGCTGACCCTTTGCAGGAGGGCTGTTGACTGGCAAATACAAGTATGAGGACAAAGACACACGTCAGCCCACGGGAAGATTTTTTGGGAATGACTGGGCTCAAGCTTACAGGGACAGGTATGTTTTGAGCTGATAGATGAGCAGGGAGATGGGGCAGGAATGATTGCATAGAAATGCAGTAGTAATCAGGTAAGAGGAAGCAGAATTGACCAAAACTTGTGTCTGTGCATGTGGTTGGGGCTGTAGCTTGTGACTGAGCTTCACAGAGTGTTTTTAGGTTCAGCTTCCTCCAGGCTTAGAGTGGGGGATTGTGGAAGTCCTTGGAGGCTACAAAGAGTTGCATGAGGCTTCCTGAAAGCCTCTTGTACTAGATGGGAATATAGATGTACCAGTCACTTTAGATCCTGAGGGCAGTAAGAGTGATTTTGTTGTTTTTTTTCTTGCAGATATTGGAAAAAGCACCATTTTGAAGGCATTGAAATAGTAGAAAGAGTTCTGAAAGATGCTTATGGCTCTGATGCACCAAGCCTGACCTCCGCAGCTCTGCGCTGGTTGTACCATCACTCTAAACTGCAGGTGAGCACCAGGCAGCTGTTGTGGCTCACAGCCAGGGCAAGGTTTTTTTAATCTGCTTATCCTGTGGGCTTCTGATGTTCCCAAGGGAATATTGCTACATGACTGCCTGCCATGCAGCAGGAGCAAGCTGGCTCTCTATTTCCTCGTGGTATCCTGTGTTTGTGGGAGTGGGAGAAGTGGAAGATGGTAAGGGGCAGTTACTGGGGTATTGGCTTCCCACCCAGACAGCAAGGAGATGAGTTTTCATCAAACTAGGGAATTAATGGTTATATTCCCCATCTCCCCAGAATGTTCCTGTAGCTCCTTGTAAAGTAGGATTTGGCAGCTTTTGAGGCATTGCCACAACATGGAGATGTTCTTGCCCTATGAACAGAACTTCATGGTGTCAGTTGTGTAAACACCAAGGAGCCACTGCCTCCTTTTTTACTGGAAAGGTTTCAGCTGTGGCTTGAGAGGTGAACCAGGTTTCTTTTGGGATCAACACCTCCTATCACTTCTCAGGGTTCTCTTGGAGACGCGGTGATCGTTGGGATGTCCAACTTGGAGCAACTTGAGCAGAACCTCAACTACAGTGAAGAGGGGCCCCTGCTCCCGGCCGTGGTGGAGGCGTTTGACAAGGCCTGGAGCCTGGCTGCCTCCGACTGCCCCAACTACTTCCGCTAGAGACCAGGATAGGGACAAGAAAGTGGGTGCCATGGGGGTGGATGATCGAGCACTGGAGAGGTACTTGCCAACCCTGCTGCTTTGATCAATGTGCAAGTGGTTTTTTTCCTGTACTAATATGAATGAAGCTTTGCAGGATCCACTCCAATTGTCAGCACTTGGTGTGGTGGCCGTGCCTTCATCCTCCTGCCCTCCTGACTTTCAGCTCTGTGCAGCACACTGTGATGTACACGTGTACTTAATCAGGGGAAAATGAACACGTAACTGGATGGACAGGGGAAAATGAACACATAACCCCAGTTCACCCTTAATATGAGATTTTAAATAATTATGTATAATAAAACCTTTTTCTCACACTGCCCCCATCTCCTAACTGCAGTCTATCTCTTAACCCACAGCCTGGCTGGCTTCTCCTTATCCATGCTCTGCAACCTCGAGCTTAACAGCTCCTCTGGGTCAGAAGATGGGAGCAAACCCTCTGCAACATGTTGGAGGGGGTCCAGAGAAGACCCACAAAAACAATGGGGGACAGAGCACCTCTCCTGTGAGGAACAGCTGAGAGATCTGGGGTTGTTCAGCCTGGAGAAGACTCCAGGTGGCCTTACTGTGGCCTTTCAGTTCCTAAAAGGGGCCCATTAAGAAAGATGGGGAGAGACTTTCTAGCAGGGCCTGTTGTGACAGGACGAGGTGTGATGGATATAAACTGAAAGAGGGAGATTCAGGCTGGATGTGAGGAAGAAATCCTTTACACTGAGGGTGGTGAAACACTGGCACAGGTTGCCCAGAGAGGTGCTGGATACCCCATCCCTGGAGACATTCCAGGCCAGGCTGGATGTGGTTCTGAGCAACCTCACCTTGATGAATACATCCGTGCTCACTGCAGGGGTTTGGACTGGATGAGCTTTGAAGGTCCCTTCAACCCAAACCATTCTGTGACTCTGTGATCTTCCCCAGTAGCAGGCACACTGTATCTAAGCTGTTACATTTATGTGTTTTCATGTTTGGAGGGAGCATTTCCTCACATCCCAGGGTACTCCAACAGTAACAGGCAGTAGCAACAACCATCTGAGGTGTTATATGTACATTTATATATATAAAAAAGCATAATTAGGTCATTTCTATGAAGAGTGTATTCGAGCAGATTGTCCTTGTCCTCCAGGTGCAAACAGGGAAGGGAAACATCCTCCTCTGTTTCTAATAGAGCTGTCTGGTGTCCAAGCACAAGGACTGCTGCTAGTCCTCATTGCTGTCATCATCCTCCCCCTCTTCTTCATCCTCCTCCTCCTCTGCTGCATCTCCCACAAGCTTCTGGAAGTCTCCAGTCTCCGAATTCCACAGAAATTTAATGGTGACTTTAAACTCTG